CTAATCCGTTCTCTTCTCTCACTGATGGTGTAACTTTAAGAGGAGAATGAAGAGCAGGCTTAGAGACCTTCCGAGAATTTGCTCGCTGCCTTTATAACGTCTTTTCCATCATCAAGCCGTTTCCTTGAGCGAGAAGGTGGGATGGCGGTTTCATAACTGATGAAGCAGTTATCTACGTTCCTTAGGTTCATGGAATATCATGGACCACATTATGGTACTGAGTGAAGAGAAGATCAAAGCATCACCATTAGAAAAAGAATACTTGCAGAAAGGTATACAATTAAAAAAGAAGCTGCTGCTGACTCTGCTTATAATTAACAATTGAAGATTGAAACACTTGTCGGCAATGGCGGAGGCGGTGGGGGCCAGTGGGGTCCCAGGCCCCACTACAGTGCGGAAGAAAAAAAAATTCAGTTCTGCTAATAATTAATAAGTTGACAGAATTCTACACCACAATTTTTCATTGTTTTTTAACACAATAAACATAGAAAATGTATCATATAGATGTTGTCAACACAACAAACGTAGCACATGTATCATTTCTGTCAATAATTCCATGTGCCTATAAAATTATTCAAAAAATTTATATGAATTTTTCGTATTTTTATTTTTAATATTATAATATTTTGTAATTTATTAAACCCAACTGATTTTTTTTGTTCTGGTTGTTTGCTAGAATTTCCTGAAACTTTCGTCTGTAAACTTCGTTTTGTATTGTTGGGAGTTCTTATCCGTCCATGTAGAGATTGCAAAAAAACTCGTTCAACCCTATACTCGAGGGATCTTGTCCCGAATGGGATGGAGATTACCCGCGTAATCGAGTAGACGGGTGGGGATCATTACCCTGAAGCGTGTATATGGCGAGTACGAGAAATATAATCCTCGTCCCGCTACCCGCTAAGTTTAAAGTTAATTTCAAATTTAATTTTTTTATCAAACAAAAATAATAGATTGATCATTGTTTTTAAAGAGAGTATGAGTTTTTTTTTTTTTAACAAATTGAAAAAAAGTAATAATATTTACTAATTAAAGATGTAAGAAATAATAATAATAATAATAAATAAATGGGACTATATATAGGGCGAGGGATCTACTCGCCACAAACTCGCCGCATCCCACTTTAATCGAGTAAAGGGATGGGGCAAGATGACAAAAATATTTGATGGAACGGGGGTGAGAATTGCTGTCATACTCGCCCTATTGTCATCCCTATATCCTTGTAGGAAAATGCAGAAGGCTGCGGGGTGGTTTAATCTAAAAGGTTTTATCAAATTTTAATAAGGGTCTGTTTGATTGCAAAAATGGAATTTGGGTGGAAAAAAAATGAATTTCACGGAATTGAATTGCATAGTACTTGTTTTACTCGGAATTGACAATTAATTGTGTTTGATTAGTATAATTTTTCACCTGAAAAATGTTGAAATTTAAAATTGAATAGTGTAAAAAAAAAAAAAAGTACTTCGCGATAAGAAGTGATTTTTGAGAATAGAAAATGCAAAAATTGAATAGTGTAAAGAAAAATTATGATTTAAAAATTAAATAGTGTAAATAATATTTTTTCACTTGCCAAGAAAAGAAAAAAGTAGCCCAACCATGAGAAATTCAATTCTTCAATTTTGTGTAATTAAGGGTCACATGAGGCCAAGTGAGAAAATGAATTGTCAAGAAAATTTTTCCTATCAAACAAGCTAAAAAGTGGAAAATGTGGGATAATTTACATCTTCCATGGAAAATTTTGGCCTATCGAACAGGGCCTAAAAGTTTATGAAATACAAGGTTGAAAAGTTGAATGAATATGTGATCGAAAATTGTGGATTCCATGAAATGTGTTATTATAACTAATTGTTAACTTTGACTTTAACTTCTTAATAACTTATTAAGCTTTTTCGAAGATGCGCTTAACAAAGAACAATAAATAAAAGGGCAAAGGAGATAGTACTAAGTTCCTGTTTGGTTCAATTAAAAAGCTACATCAAGATTTATGTTCAAGTTAACAATTAATTTTAACTACATATTTCATGAGAATCACAACTTTTCAGCCACATATTACATTAATTTTTTTTAATTAAAATTTACTAAAAATTTGATTTTTATCTAAACCAAACTTTTTTGAGGTGTAATTAGCTTTTGCTTGTATTTCCCTTTTTCTCTTCATCTAAATACATGTTGGAGTACGATAGCCCAATGCAAACCCTACTACTCAGCCCAACATGTATGGCTTTTTAATAGGGGTCGGACGGGATGCTTATTTGTGTTTTACAAGACAATTTTTATAATTTAAAAGTCAATATTAGTAAATTGTAACAAATAATTGAGGAAAGAGAACATGAAATACAATCGATTCACATCAATTTTTCGTTGCAATCGCTTCGCCCCACCCCTGGTGAAAAATCATAATTCATTGATTATCGCAAATATATGAAGGGTGTG